TTCTTTCTTTCTTTCTTTCTTTCTTTCTTTCTTTCTTTCTTTCTTTCTTTCGGTTTGGTTTTGGTTTTGGAGACAATTTCACTACATAGCTCAGGCTACCCTGGAACTCAGTAAGTAGACTAGATTTACAGAGATCCACCTGCCTCCACCCACCAAGTGCTAGAATTAAAGGCATGTCCTAACACACCCAGCTAAAACTCCTTTTGGGGGGTGGGGTGGACAGGGCCTCTCTACGTAGTCCTGGCTGTCCTGGAGCTCACTATGTAGACCAGGCTGGCCTCAGACCTGCAGAGATTTTCCTGCCTCTGCCACCTCAATTGCTGGGATCAAAGGAGTATACCACCAGATCTGGTTAAAACTCCTTTTTTGTTTGTTTATCTGTTTGTTTGTTTTGGTATGGTTTTTTGTTTGGAGGGGATTTTTTTGTTTGTTTGTTGTTGCTGTTTTTTTTTTGTTGTTGTTTTGTTTTGTTTTTTTTGCTGCAGTTTTTGGTTTTTCGAGATAGGGTTTTTCTGTGGCTTTGGAGTCTGTCCTGGAACTAGCTCTTGTAGACCAGGCTGGCCTCGAACTCACAGAAATCCGCCTACCTCTGCCTCCCAAGTGCTGGGATTAAAGATGTGTGCCACCACCGCCCGGCTGAAACTCCTTCTTTTAATGAAACCAGTATATCCACTCTCCTATTCTAAAAATGGTGGACAGTAAGCTTCCTGTTGACTCAGGTGTGTACTTCATCTTGTGAGTGCTTAGCGAGATGTCATGAGGACGAAGCATAGGACTTCAAGCATCCAGTTGTCACCCTCCTACCTGATACTCCAGCAACCCAGAAAGTGCATCTGAACCTCCAGCTGGGTGTTAAAGTCAGTGTGGATGCCACAGACATCTCTGTGGTAACTATAGATGCAGAAAGTGTTAGCCCTCTATCATTAGTGGCCCCTTCATCTGTATTCTCCAATTATCCCAGATCCAGCCACTCTGACTTCTTCCACACTCCACAACCTCTGGGTAATCTTAGGCCTGTAATCCAGCCTCAAGGACTATATTGGTGTTTACAACTTCTGCTCTTTACATTTTCTGAATGAATTATATTGAAATTATCTTCATTGCTACGTAACAAAAACCAAGTCACTAAAAATGGAAAACATTTAGGATCTCACAGTTCCTGATGGGAACTATCAAGGAGTGGCTCAGCTGATAGTTTTGTTGCTGGTTTTGTTGTTTGTTTGTTTTTGGAAACAGTGTTTCTCTTTAACTGCCCTGGAACTCACTTTGTAGACCAGGCTGGCCTGGAACTCACTTTGTAGACCAGGCTGGCCTGGAACTCACAGAGATCCGCCTGCCTCTGTCTCCCGAGCAGCCTTGGGTTTAAAGGCCCAGCCTAGCTCAGTTCTTACTCAAAGTCTTTCAGGACAGGAAGACTTGGTATGGTTTCAGCTTGTATTTATTGTCATTGATATTGATAGGAGGCCTCTAGTCTGTTATGTTTTCTGTAAAAAGATTCTCCAATCAAAGGAGTAGGTCACCCCTTTGTTGCTGTGAGGTATCTACCAGAGAGAACTACTAAAATACATGTTCAAGACAATAGAGAGTCTTTATTAGCTGGCCGGCAACTACACTTAGTATTCAGGACCCCAGTGCACGCCCAACTTCCTTCCTTCTTTCCTTCCTTCCTTCCTTCCTTCCTTCCTGCCTGCCTGCCTGCCTTCCTTTCCTCTCTCTCTCTCTCTCTCTCTCTCTCTCTCTCTCTCTCTCTCTTTTTGGACCTCACTCCGTACACCAGGCTGCCCTTGAACTCACAAAGATTTGTTTGCTTTTGCCTTTTGAGTGCTGGGACTGAAAGCACACCTGGCCCCAAATCTTTCACAGATTGAGCTTTTAAGCATAAAAAAAACATATCCTGGGTTAACATACCTCAGTTAGTCAGAAGCAGAACTACGGAAGCCAAAAGCCGAGTTTAGTAGATTTAGAGACTTTAGCGGTTTCCCAAAAGCTATGGACTTTGATGGGTGAGGTCTTTGTTTTCATCTGTGACAGCTAGTAATGCCTACATGCTGGCTTTCATGGCCTGAATGGTACTCTCATCACGGCATCAGTTGTGCTAAGATCTAGAGACCCATTACTACCATGCTCAACATCAGCTGATCCCTTTGGCAAGGGTATCCTGAACAAACTATAGAGGACAAGAAGTAGGGCAGGAAGGCCAGGGTCTGGTTAGGAGAATTACCGCTCTTTCCAGAATTCTGTTCTTCTGAAAGGGGGCTAATAAGAACAGTATGACCTCCTAGGGCCCTCTCAGGTGATACTTCTCCCTCTAGCCACACAGAAAGTACTCCCCCACAAGGACTGATCTTACCAGGCCCTCACTTCCTCCTCCCCTGTATACTTTTCCAAACTGAGCAGTTCCCTACCTCTCACACAGACCTCTCTTTTCTCCCATTACAGGGTTTCTCTGTGTAGCCCTGGCTGCCCTGGAACTCGCTCTATCGACCATGCTGGTCTCGAATCAGAATCTGTCTACTTCTACCTCCCGAGTACTGGGGTTAAAGACGGGCACCACTATCGCCCGACTTGCACAAGCTTTTCTGCCAAGAATATGTTCCATTTAGTTCCTTAGTACCATTGTCCCCCTTCGTTCAAGTCTAAAGGGTATAACACCTGTTCTATATGGTACCTGCTGTTCAGGATCACTGGCTCCAACCCCTGGAAATTCAGGAAGATGGAAAGCAGTGGGGCAACACAGGGGTGACAAGTCTAGCAAAGACTTACAGATTTCTCCCAGGTGTGCAGTTCAGCACAAGAAGATCCAGAGATAGCCTCTTGGAGGAGCTGACAGATCAGCCTGTGGTAGAGTTCCTTGCCTTACTTCATGGTAGCCTAGTCGCAGCTTCCATACGGCTCACAAGATACTCTGCAGGCTGAATTTGTGATGGGGCCATCCCCTTACACAAGGAAGTCATAGCACTCAGCAGCAACTCTGAAGGTGGAAGAGACATAAGCAGTAGAAAGCTGAATTTGTGAAGTGAGGTGAGTTTCCAGTGAATTCTCTAGATTCGGTGCCTGGTCTCAGCAGCATTCAGAAGCCAGTGATTGAGACAATGCACAAAAGAAACCAATCCTCTTCCACTGAGTGTGCAGTATGTTCTTGACACCTGAGTCTAGGAACGAGGCGACCTTAACAGTGTGTCAAGCCAGGGATCCCTACCTGTGTTGCAGGAAGGGGAACTTAAGCTGGGAGAGGGGGAACTCAACCTGGCTGGAAGCCTGTATCTTTGTGCTTAACCATGAGAATAAAATGGAATACAAATGGCCAAAATTGTGGTTTCAAGGCAGATGAGGTCAGCCCTCTCCCAAGGGCAGCACAGCTTAACACAGATCACCTTCCAGGGTCTATTTTTCTTTCTTTCTTTCTTTCTTTCTTTCTTTCTTTCTTTTTTTTTTTTTTTAAAAAAAAAAAAAAAAAAAGACAGGTCTCACTGTGTATCTCTGGCTGACCTGGAACTCATTGATCTGAAACTCACTATGTACACCAGGCTAACCTCAAAATCACACGGATCCACCTGCCTCTACCTCCCAAGTGTGGATTAAAGGCTTGTGCCACCATGTCCAGTAGCACCAGGGCGAAGGAGATGGCCCAGTGAGGAACAGTACTTGTTCTGCGAGCAAGGAAAACTGAGTTCAAAACCCTAACAACCATATAAAAAACCATACATCACTGAACTGCCTAGAACCCCAGCCCAGGGATGGGGGACAGAGATTAACATTCTGAGAGTTTGCAGGTCAGCCAGCCTAGCAAAGATGACTATCTTTCAGTCCAGTAAGAGATCCTGTCTTAAGGCAATAATCTAGAGAACCATAGAAGACATCCAATGTCATTCTCTGTCTTCTGCATGTGTGTCCATGGATACATACTAGCATACTCACATGCATAGCGCGCACACACACACACACACTTCTTTTGTTTGTTTGTTTTCGAGACAGGGTTTCTCTGTGCATCTTTGACTGTCCTGGAACTCATTCTGTAGCCCAGGCTGGCCTCGAACTCAAAGAGATCCGCCTGCCTCTGCCTTTTGAGTGCTGGGAATAAAGACGTGCGTCACCACAACTGGCTCACACACTTTTCTTTAATTAGCAAAAAATCCTCTCCCCAGTTACCTTCCCTCACTGAGACACATTCTGCAAAGGTTGGTGACTGTCATCTTCCTGGATGCCCCTCTTGGGGCACCTATTATATCTGAGGGGGGTTGCATACTCTATCATCAAACAAGGCAAGGCCAACCCTGGAGTACCTGGGTACATCCATAATTACCCAAACTGGATGAAAGGCAGTCTTGCAGTTAGTGGGGCTTGAGAAATGAACTGGGTCAGGGCTGCAGGAGCTGTGATACGAGTGAACCACACAGCTCACAAGATGAAACAAAACAAAACCACAACATGACTCTGTAAATATTCTTTGGTACAGTGTAAGCACCAAGCCTGAAGTCCCTGTCACTCCATGATCAATCCTGGCCCGGAGGATCTGTTCTGCGAGCAACAGGAGGTTACTGGAGTCAGCTCTAGTCAATGTTTCCACAAGTACACCAAAGTAAGCAACACCGTGAGGGCCCACCGAGTGACAGGAGCATGTGGCTCAACCCGTCTGCACCTGAGTTCCAGCTGGTGCCGCAGGCCAGGTGGCCAAGTAAGTGGGGGCACACGCCAGCTGGGACACCCTCACAGCCCGGTGAGGAAACAATTCATCTTGGAGAAGCACTCTTTGAAAACAGCCCAGTACTTGCCCAGGATCTCAGGATGGGCGGAGCACCGCTGCTACAGGGTCAAAAGCAGGAATCGGTTCCTGCAGTGGCGATCCTACACATCCCTCACTTACACACCTCTCACCTCCCACCTGTCACTGGGCCATGTAGGTTCTGCAGATGTCTCTGTCAGCCGTCTCTAGTTTTGTGTGCTGGGAGCTCTGGAGCAGGAACGCAGGATGGGTGACAAGCCAGAGGTATCCTACACTCTAGATCTTAGGATCTGAGGGCCACAATAAGCCTAGAGAACTGGACCCCCTTCTAGTGCTTCATCCCAGCCCGGCTCACGTCTTTCCCATGCGTGTTCAGGATGATTGTCTGGAGCAGAACCAGGCTCGCGTTGATGCGCGCTAGTCGCCACTTCTCCATGACCAGCTTGGAGGATTATTAGGTGGAGCAGCGGCTAAGTCCGGTGTTTAGTTGTCCCTCGCTCAACCTTGCGGTTTTAGGATGCGCTGTCCGACTCGTCTTGGATCCAGCTAGGGCTGGCCAGAGCTCCGGCGAGGGGTGAAGCAAGCGTTCGACTTCCCTGGAATGTCCACCAGCATAATGCACCAGGCGGCCTAGTGAGCGCAGAGCTGGTGCACTCCTACAAACTTGAACCTGGAGCCTGTGCATTGAGGGCTTTAAAAAGGCAGTGGAGCGGCGGGGCCTGTGAATTCTACTTGGTTTCAGTTCCCACACTCCTCTCAGCCAATAGGAGGGCCGGTCTCTGGCCCGGCCTGTGGCCGGCCTCGCTGGTTGTTACGTGCAGCAGCCAACCCCTCAACCACCTCCCCACCCCTCCCCCTCTCCCGCCTGACCAGTGACAAAGGTGAACCGGACGCCAAAGTCCACTACAGCAAGGGAAGAGCACCAAAAGGAGCCCTCTGGTTAGAGGGCACAGTAAGTGTGAGCCGGGTGGAGGCTCCTGGCTTACTTCCCTTGATAGAGGAAGCACCCGGTGGATAAGGGATGCAGTTCATGATCGCCTCATAGGAAATCTAGAAGGAAATTTCTCCAAAGGCTAGAAGACAAATTCTCAGGACTGTGAAGCCTGAACCCATTGTGTCTCCTCGCGGTCCCACCCAAGGCTCCAATAGTTTCAAGTTGGCCCCTTGTCTGCTCAGCTGCAATGCTCATGTGCAATGCAGTTCCAACAAGGATTCTGAAACACAGACACTTAGGAACAAACTTGGGTAGATAAACCAACACCAGCCACTGAGACTAGAGGGAGGTCAGCTGGTCCCTGTCAACTATCTGATAGGTGACATCAGTTTGTATGGCAGGGCAAGGGGAAGGACAACTTTGTGTAATGTAAAGATAAAGATATCAGTGGTGACACAGACCAGGATGATGTCATGGAGTTAATGATATATTCTATATTCTAGACTAGCCCACCGCTAACTAAATCCAGCACAGAACTCAAAAAAAAAAAAAATGAGGGCAAGCTGGGCATAGTTGCTCATGCCTTAAAAAATGAGGGCAAGCTGGGCATAGTTGCTCATGCCTTTAATCCCAGCCACTCAGGAGACAGAGGCAAGCAGATCTCTGTAAGTCCGAGGCCAGACTGGCCTATAGAGTGAGTTCTGGGACAGCCAGAGCTACATTGTGAAACCCCTGTCTCAAAACACCCACTCGAAAAAAATTACAGCAAATTTAAAATCTTTCTATTTTTTTTTCCAAAGGAGAATGAGAAAACAGGGCAATTATTATTTTCACGGTTGCTATTATTTTCATTCTGAATTACACTGCAGAACATACATACATCACACACCTCAGGTTCCGAATCACAGCCTAGCCTGGCAGCTGCCTGCATGTATTCATTCAATGGCGGTGGCCTGAGACCATAGTGGACGTCAGACACCCTACTTCCCTTTCAAATCTGTCTTAGTAAGTCACAGAAAATAAGCGACTGGTTTGCTGTGTTAGAGAAAACGCCCTCTATTGGGTGGTTCCAAAGCCTTCACAATTGGTTCTTCAGAGGGAAGGAAGTTTTCAAGAGGCCAGGAAGAGGGAATGGCACTCCCAGAGCATTCTAGAAAGGGAGCACAGTGAAGAAGTGAGGGGGTATTCTAGGGATTGCAGGATGGGGGCTTCTGGCCCCAGGATGGGTCTGGGGAACCTTGAGGTGCTTTTCTGGATAATAGAGTAAGCCAGCGGTGCTGAAAAAGTATTTATTCACCTGGTGTGTGGGGGCTGGAAGGTGGCTTCTAACCAATGACTGTTTCAGAATCCCTGAAAAGGATCATATGAGATACCTTTTCCAGAAGCTGCCTTTTCCTCTGGGGCCAATCCTAGTCTGGTCCTAGTTTATACCTAAAAGAAGCCTGCTTCTCAGTACAGAAGCCCTTTTATGACCCCAGTGCTGAACTATACCTCGAAAGCCACTCCTTCCAGGACTGGAGATGGGTGGAGAACAGATGTCAAACACGCCACACACACACACACCCCCATACACCCATGCCTTGGGGTTGACAGCAAGGCTGGGCTGTCACATTCTGAGCTGTGGGTTTATGCCGAGCCTTAGGAAGCGGTCTATATGGAAACCCCTGACCTCTGCCTTGCAGAGAGACTAGACAAGCAGGGAACAAAGAGGGAACCCCATTCTCTCCCTGGTTGCCCTACTGATGGTTAAGTTTAAGTTGTGACATGGGTTGTCTTTGTTTGTATCGTCACTGGAAGGAAAAATAAGATTCTACTCCTTTAAAAATGTTTGCTGTTGGGCTGGGGAGATGGCTATGTGGAAAGTGACTGAAGAAGTCACAACATTAATCTCTGACCTCCATGTGTATGAGCACATGTGTTCATACATACATGTAAAATAAATACATAAACAAAATTTATATATCCGATTCTTTCTTCTAGACTCTAAGGGCACCTACACTCACATATACACGTACACATACAATCCCCCATCCCATAGCCACATAGTTAAAAATAAACCTTAAAAAAAAATCTGAGGACTAAGTATATAACTCAGTTGTTAGAGTACTTACTTAGCACGCATGAAGCTTTGGGTTCCATCCCCAAAAACTGGCACAGAAAATGCACAACTGTAATCTCAGAGTTTGCGCAGGAAAGACAGGAGGATCAGTTTAAGGCCAGTTTCATAGTATCAATGTCTCTTTATGTACATAATAAGGCCTTAATAAACTCTTCTAGGATAGAAATGTTTCCCTACTTGCTGGGTGGTGGTGGCTGTGGCACACACCTTTAATCCCAGCACTCAGGAGGCAGATCTCTGTGAGTTCGAGACCAGCCTGGTCTACAGAGCAAGTTCCAGGACAGTCAGGGCAACACAAAGAAACCCTGTCCTGAAAATAACAACAACAAGAATAACAAAATGCTTTCTATGAACAACCCCTGCCCCCGCCTGACACACTCTGATAAACATTGTCCTAAACTAATAACCAATAGTTGTTGTCTTTGGGTAGCTCTGATTGCCACTACTTTGTGCAGTTTCTGAATTAACTATCGTGTCATTTTCCAAGATAACAAATGTCCAAGCTGACAAATGAAAAATAAGTTTTCTATCATCAGTTCCTGTTACAACTTCTACATGCCTTGTAAAGGACCTGAAATGCTGGATATTTAGGGAGTTTCAAAATACACAGGCTTTCTTATGGCCTTGGCCCTTGAGAGCCAGTCCCTTTCATTCCCAGCCACGGTTTTCATTCAGTTTTGTTTTGCCCACTCATTCAAGGTATGCCTTGAGAAACGGAAACCGAAACAGAAAGCTTCTCTGACTTCTGGAGACTCCGCCTCTTGACACCCACAGCTCACACACTTAAAAGAGCTGACCCAGCCTCTGGCTGTGCCAGGGAGCAGCCAGAAGCTGAGACAAGCATCAGTTCCTGCAAGGGGTCCTAGTGCTAAAGCCTACAGCCATGGTGAGTCAATTTGGGACAGAGGCAGGTGGGCTCGATTTTTGTTGACTTTCCTTCATTCCTTGATAGGATCTTCCAGAGGCAAAATAGTTACAATTTGAGCCATAGTTGCTCAAAGATCACTACTTGGAGGGACTAGATCCCTTAGAGCTCGACCCAGAAGGGTATCTTGGTGGGTGAACTGAAACGTGATGACTGTGGGAGGCTGGCCCTTCAGATGGGGGTGGGCTATGGGAACTGGTCCTGTGATGAGTGCTTCGAATTTAGTAACTCCCGATACTGGTGCCAGATGAGACTGTAAACCAGTGGTTCTCAACCTGTGGGTTGAGAGTTGAGACCCCATTGGGGTCAAATGACCCTTTCAGAGGGATTGCATATAAGATATCCTGCATATCAGATATTTATAGTATGATTCATAACAGTAGCAAAATTAGTTATGAAGTAGCAATGAAAATAATTTTATGGTTGGGGATTACCACAACATGACAAACTATTTAAAAGGGTAGCAGCATCAGGAAGGTTGAGAACCACTGCTAAACCCGTGTGATTCCTGCAGACCTGGAACCTGAAGGTGAAGATGCTGAGTGATGAGTTCCTGGTGTCCCTGACTAACTCCACGACTGTGTCGGAACTGAAGAGGCTGATTGCCCAGAAGACTCATGTGCCAGCTTTCCAGCAGCGCCTGGCCAAACAAAGTGGCGAGATGCTACAAGACAGCGGTACTCTCATCAGCCAGGGCCTGGTCCCTGGCAGCACAGTCATGCTGATTGTACAGAATTGCAACAACCCTCTGAGCATCCTGGTGAGGAATGACAGGGGCCGCAGCACCATTTATGAGGTCTGGCTGACACAGACCGTAGCAGAGCTTAAGAGGAAGGTGTCCCAGCAGGAGCAGGTCCAGGAAGACCAATTCTGGCTGAGCTTTGAGGGAAGACCCATGGAGGACAAAGAGCCACTGGGGGAGTATGGCCTAAAGCCCCAGTGCACAGTGCTTATGAATTTGCGCCTGCGGGGAGGGGTATGCTATGCCTAAGGCCTCTATCCAGAGCCAATGTTGGCAATAAAAAGTGATCCAATGTAAAGTTCTGCCTCCTGTTTGCTTGTCCTCCCTCAGAAACGCCCATCTGTTGCCTTTTACAACCCTGCTGAGGTCAAGTAAAAGAACCCAGGTCCATCCATTGTGACAAGGCTTTGGGTTGCCAAGTTAAGGGACAAGGATTTTACAGTTAAAGCCTACTGAGAGAATTCCCCTTCCAAACCCTTTGGGTAATTCACTTCTAGAGACACTTTTTCTGGGACCCAGTTCTGAGGCTCAGCCGCTCAACAACTGGTCCCCATCTCTGTATGTGGCCCAGGGACAGGTTGGGGTAGGTCCTACCAGTAACTGGATGAGGCCCCTGATGGGACTAGTCACTCCTCAGATTCTTTGGAAATAGTGAGGGAATGTTCTTGGATCTGTCTGAGTAGGCTGCAAAGGAGGAGGGTGTATTCTTCTGTGGGGGTTCCTAGTCCCCCCTGCATTAGTCCACAGAAGGACAGGACAGGGCTTCATTGTCACTTCCGTCAGTTGCTGTTTAGGGCAGCAACTGCTGGTTAGTAAATACTCATCAGGGCTATAAAGAGGCCATTACTGGGAGGTTAGGGGGCACCTGGAATTGGGGGCTCACATGCCCACAAAGGAAATCATACCTCACATAGGAGGCACACAATTTGGAAACGTTTCATCCCCTTCCTGCCTGATATTTCTATTTATTTATTTATTTATTATATATACAATATCCTTTCTGCACGTATGCCTGAAGGCCAGAAGATGGCACTAGACCTCACTACAGATGGCTGTGAGCCACCATGTGGTTGCTGGGAATTGAACTCAGGA